TATGGAGTGACAAGAAAACAAGTATTGCATACTTGGCTATAAAATTGTTTGTTATTAAACAAAACAAAGCAAAACAAAAACAAAAACAAAACCAAACAAAGAACAAAACAACAACAATTAATCTCCAAAATTTGCCCAGTTGGTATGCTGCTGCTTTGTTTTGGGAGGGGTGGTGGGGAGGAGGATTGTTATTGTTGGGGGGGGGTGGTGTTTTGATTTTCTTTTTCTTTTTTTTTTTTTTAACTTAACACCTCCTTTCAAACTTCTACTCCCGGGGAATGCAGAAAGCTGCGTAAGCTGCGAGGAAGGTGCTCAGAGGTTACTCCCAACATCGAGCTCCCCTAGTGGCTGTTTCCCTCCCACGGTCCCTGCATGGACAGAAACACCTGGCTTGGGATTTTCCCACTCATGATTAGAAGGAAGTGACTGGAAAGGGATGCAGATCACAATCCGGGAATGAGAGAAAAGAAAAAAAAAAAAAAAGTGGGATACTCATTTCTAACTTGGATTTTTGGTATAAGAAAATGTTGGTTTATTACCTGCAAAAGAAATGTAAAGACTTCTCTATAAGCCTCTAATCAGACACTGCATATTGCACTGTTGAGGATATAAGGAAACCTGAGGGAAACTCTGCTTTAAAGTTTGCTTCAAGAGCAAATATAAACCAAAACATAGATAACAATGTCTTATGAATCATTCTGCCTACAGTAATTTTTGCATGTATGATGAAAGGCTGTATTGACCATGTTCAAGCCAATGATTAGCATTAATCCACAAGCAGATGGATATGAAAGCGGCAAAATCAGTGTACATAGACAGAGTTGCTCTGTAAGGAAAACATTTTCTGCCTCTCCATGCACACAAAATACTGTTTTCTTGTAGCAGGAGTACTCACAGACTAATGCCAGTTTAAGGGCATAGCAGAGCAAATACCAGGCTTTGGCTCTGTGGCTTCTTGAATTTTGCTGTCAAACCAAAATGGGTGGAAAACTATGAGCTTAATTTTTCTTGTTGCTGCCAGGGTTTGGGGGTTTTGGGAAGGGTATTCCAAGGAACAAGACTTGTTCTGCTTGTCATTGTAAAGGTATAGTTGCCTACTAGACATTAGCTCTAGACTGAAATTTCTAAGCCAATTTTCGAGATAGGTATTGCAATAGTACCAGGATAGGGCAACGAGGGATGTGTATCAATTCCTTTAAATGAAATAGTTTAACAGTGCCATGAAAGAGTGTGGGGTACATAAAAGAATCAAATAAAGCTTCCGATGAAAATCCTGCCTGAGTCTCCTTCCACTCATACCAGCTTTACTCGATCATAACCTCTGTTTTTGCTGGAGTTATTTGTGATCTACTTCTCTGTCAGTGATCGCTTTGATCCCAAGTATCTTGGCAAACACCAGAGGTGCAAAGAGGCTACAAGAATGAAGCTTTCATGCTCTAAAAATGGATAATGAAAAAAGAAAATCGTATATTAAGCCTGAGAAAAAATGGTGGCCATTAAGGATGATAAGTAATTAAGATCCAATTAAAAGCTACACAGCATTTGCATCTCAAGTTTTCTTTGGGAAACATCCTGTGTTTTGGGATTCATCAACCAAAATATACTAGTGCAACTTCAAATGGCCAACAAACAAACTCGCCTCTGCAGTCTGAACCCTTCCCTGCCTCCATGCAGAGCAAACAGCTGTCAGCAAATCCAGGTTTCATAAAAGAAGAAGATAAATAATAAGTGAGATTCTCAAAGAGCTTGGCCAGAGGCCGGGTGCACCCACCACTGCCCCACTGCAGCCCAGGTCCCGTAGGGATGGCCCAGAGCAGTGCTGCCCCACAGCCCTGTCCATGACCCCACAGTGAGGGGAAGCCTGGCAGCTGCCACGAGGTTTGGCAGAGCCACTGGAAGAGCCTGTGTGTGTCATCAAGGAACGCTGGGCCATGGGGCTGTGGTGGGTGCTTGCAATAGGACTCCGTGGGGTCAGCGGTGGATGCTCCTGGGACCGTGGTGTGTGTGCTGTGCCCTGGAGAACCAGGGGATGACCCAAGGGGCTCCCCATCGCTCCGCCAGAGCTTTGGGGGCTGACAGGGAGCCTGGTGGCAGCTCCATGGGGGACCCGGCTCTACGGGTAGGAGTGGTGGAGGGAGAGGGTCTTCATTCAGGGGCCTCCCCAGCACCCTCGCCCTGGGCAGCCCTGAGGGGCCCTGGGAGCCCTGCGGGCAGCAGTGGCTGTGCTCTATGGACCCTCCAAAGAAGGCGTCAGTGCCTGACCGGGGGTGTTTGCAGTCTCTGAGGTGTGGGGTGGGCAGGGCAGGGCACGGTGCTCCCCCTCGGCAGCCTGGGGCTGGGGCCAGGGCTGGGGGGGCAGGGGCAGGATCCCTGCGGGGGGAAACGCGCCTCGGCTCTGCAGTGAGCGGGGACTGGGGGGCTTGGGGGGGCTGGTTTTTTCCCCAGAAGCGGTGGCGTTTAAATAATAATTAGAAAGGAAGAAGAAAGATTTAAGGCGGGTAGGAGACGCAAGGCGCATCCCGGAGGCCCGGCGGGGCGGGCGGGAGCGGCGAGCCCGGTTCCCCCACAGTTCCCCCGGGATCCCCTCCGGACCCTCCGGCTCCCCCCGCCCGGCTCCCGGCGGGGCCGCGGCCACCTCCAGCCTGCGCTGAGGCTGAGCAGAGCCTCCCCGCTCCCCCAGCTCTGCTTTCTTTCACATCTAATTTGATAGGAGGGGGATTTCGAGCTTCCCACAGTTACAACTTTTCTTGATTTCTCCCTTCCCCCCCGCCCCGCGCATTTATTACTTGCATTTAATTAATTCCTTCTTTGCGTTTCCTTCCCTGCTAATCTTTGGGTGACTGCTTTGTACATATGGCAATCTGATAATGAGGGAGTCTATCCTTATTCTCTAGACTTCTTCACTGCGATGTCCACCCGTCTAGTGCCTGGGATATCGATCATCTTTCCTTGGGTAGGGGGACAAGGTAAGAGGGGTGATAAAAGATTTGCAGTATTCCACACCATTAAGAATAGCTTTTATTCCTTGGCGATGTTTAATCAACTGTTATATCAAGTCATGCTGTTTAAGCAACCACATCAAAAGAACATACCCTCTTTTGAATAAATTATATATTCCTTGTATCTGTCTTCTCGCATGCACGCAGACGGCGAGATAAAACTTAAGTTTGTTTTTTAATAGCATGAAGCAGGTATTTAGCTGTTATACAACTTGTTTCTGCAACTAAGTTGGTTGATAACAACCTAGAAGCCAAGCTGCTGACTTTCTAGCTTTTTACCCATTTCCCAGTCAAAACTCCTCAATTTAAAGCTCGGAAAGAGAAATCAATGATTCACTGAAACTCTACAAAGAAACATAAATAGCAGAAGAAAAGCATAGGCTAAAAAAGAGGGAAGAGCACCGGTTAGAGTCAGTGTGAGAGCTTCGGATTACTTTTTTCGGCTCTTTTCTAAAGTTTACCTAAAAAGACCGCTTTGTCCCTTGAAAAGTCCATGCTGCCCTGCTTGTTACAGTTTACGGTTGCACAACTTTTTTACCACTTAAAAACTAATTTCAAAGTGTATTTTCACATGGCTTAAGTTGATTACTACTCAGGTCGATGTCATAGACCAGAAAACTCACATATAATTGTTAGTCCCAAGGAACTTTTTTTTTCTTTTTAATATCCAAAACTTAAATAAAGTTGATTTTTGGATGTGTTTTGTTTTTCTGAGAGACAGGACTTTGAATTACTTCAGCATGCCGTCTTGGAATTTTTAAGAATCCCTTAAAAAATCTCCTGAAAGTTTCTAGATCTGAGAACAAATTGTATTTTCTTAGGACCAAAAGTAAATGAGCACTTTACAGGCAGAGAAGTGTTTGTTCATATGGGACTCTGCTGTTCTGTCTAACCTGCTCTATCAGCCCCATCTCTGCAATTTTGCCCGTCTCTCAACACCTTTGTCTGATTAGTAGCTTTTGGAGATCGGGATAAAGACATCACTTGCCACGCTGCATGAGATAACAATTAATTTAACATTAAACTTATCCCCTTTCCATTCACTTTGCTTGGATCGATCTCTGATAATTGTGTTTGCGGATGCTTTCAGCACTATGCTTTTCTTAAAAACTTAATGACACCCCGCAAGGAGGTGTAAGAGTCTAAAACGCTCCTCTCCGACTTTGACCAAAGAAACAAAGAATACATCCCCAGCGTGCCCAGGAGACCATCTATTTTTAATCAGTTGACTTTTCATGCACTTTCGAAGATAAAACACTATTATAAACTGGGTGATAGTCCTTGTTTTATTAAGAAGAAAAAAAGTGCCTCATTGCAGTTGTGTGATACATAAGTCAGACACCCTAACTTCATCTAACTGCCGCCTCCATCAGACCTGTTTCTGCCTTTAAAGTGATCATTTATCAGCTAAAAGGCGAGCGTGTTTTTAAAAAGTATGTCTTTAGGAAATAGAGCAATCTCCCTTTTCAGGGAGAAGAAACCTGTTACAAAGCCATTTAGGTGGGTGCGCTCTGAAATGGCATTATTCCCCCCCAGGCTTTAATACTTCCCCAATAAGTTCCTATTTGCACTGTTCCCCGACAATTCGGCATTTTATTTAACCGCAACTGCCCTTAAAAACTTGACTTGGACTGAGGCAGCCTGCTGATCATACTTTTTTTCCGCTCTTTCACAGAGGCATCTGTTCCTCTTGCTGACAAATGTACCATTCTGCCAAGAAAGTTTCTGACAAAAAAAAAAAAAAAAAAAAAAAAAAGGAAAAAAAAAAAAGCATGTAATTGATGTTATCCCAAGAAAGCGCGATCTCCACCCCTCTCAGCTCCAAGCCCTTCAGGTAAAAGGAAAAAAAAAATCTTTCAAGAATTTGTTGCCTTTTTGAGGGTTAAAACATCAGAAGACAAGCTTGTCTCGCCTTGGCCAATCAGCTCTCGGCCCTGGCAGCTATAATATAGAACTAAAGGCAGACTCCTCTCACAAGCGTCTTGCTTTGCTACCATTAAAATCAGACCCTTTTTTTGTCTCTCGATTGCTGTCTCACGACCAAACTCCGATGTGTTCCGTTATCAGCGACCTAAAGCCTGCCATTCCAGCACCTGTCTTGCTAGGGATCGGTGGATAGTATACGATTCAGAAAGCAGACAAGGACATAGGAGGAGAGAGAGCTCTAGAGACAGCCAGGGATAGGCACAGAGAGCTTTGAAGTAATTGGATTCAATGGACGAAATGCTGCTGTTGACAAGAATTCTCTTGGTGGGCTTCATCTGCGCTCTTTTAGTCTCCTCTGGGCTGACTTGTGGACCAGGCAGGGGCATTGGAAAAAGGAGACACCCCAAAAAGCTGACCCCTTTAGCCTATAAGCAGTTTATTCCCAATGTGGCAGAGAAGACCCTAGGGGCCAGTGGAAGATATGAAGGGAAGATCACAAGAAACTCCGAGAGATTTAAAGAACTAACCCCAAATTACAACCCTGACATTATTTTTAAGGATGAAGAGAACACGGGAGCTGACAGACTGATGACTCAGGTAGAGCCACAGAGATACCTGTATTTGTGTTTGTTAACCTCTCTGAGCAATCCTAAAGGACGCATCTGTCTTAGTATTTTTGAAAGCCCCCCCCTTTCCCTCTCCCCCTCCTCCCCCCGCCCCTCCAAACTCGGCTAGTTTCCCCCATTGAATGTAAATACCATCTATCCAGACAAGTTAGCAGGGGCTGGAGCTGGAGCTGTTTAGATATTTGGTGGGGGAATCTGTGTGATACTTACAGTCATTACCGTGCCATGGCGTTCCCTGTAACTTGGTTAGAGATTGTTGTTTGCATTTGTCCCCAAGGATGCACTTTGATCAAACGAATTGCATACAGCTCAGAGGACCCCAACTGTATAGTGACCGCCAGGCCACCCACTCATTATTATAAATGTAGTCCGCGGTTGCTGCGCCTGCTGACTTGATTTTTATATATATATTTTTTATTTAATTTCTCTCTTTTTAATTTCATTTTAACCTTTATTATTATTATTATTATTTCTCTCGCGAGTATATTCTAAATTTAGTAGGCATGCAGTCGTGCACTCACAAAAGGCAGCTGAAGCCGGATCGACCATTCCTCTCCTGATTCCGTATTATATAGCTCGTATTGCAATACCATCATTTGCAATTGTGCCCATCAGAGCGTAAATATATTGATATTTCTTTAAGGATGCTCGCCACCAATGCTCTGGTACTTCCATAGGGGAGGGACTTGCAACTTATCGGCATTGCATCACCTTCTGTTTTAAAAAATCTGATGGCACAAGGTTTACAACTGGGTAAATATTGGATATCGGGTGGAACCGAATTGCGGAACCATTTTATGAAAAAGGGGAAAAAAAAGAAAAAAAAAAGGAGGGAAAAAAAAAAGAGAAAGGAGAAAGAGAGAGAACCGCTCCGAGAGTCACCTCGTAATTATTATTCATGCTCAACAGAGAGCTCGGTGAAGTCAATTGCTCTGCCAATCCCGGAGTTTCAGAAACTACATGCAATCTAGACACTGGAAATGGGTTTCCTCCAAATATAGGTCAACAGCGCTTTTTTAATATTAATACATTTAAGCCCCACCTTCAGTGCTAGAGCAGGACTCGCCTGGAAGGACTAGGCGGGGAGTGGACGCGGGGAAAGGGGGGGGTGGGGGGTGGAATTTCCCAAACTCTCCCCGTTCCTCGGCCTGATTTTCCGCACGTTGCCGGGTCTCCCGGGGCGAGGGACCGGCGGCCGCCACCATCTCCTCCCGACCACCTTAAATCGCACCGCACCTCGGAGCGCGGTGGCGCCTCCGCCCGCCCTCGGCCGCCGCCCCGCGCAGGGTGCGGAGCGGAGCGGAGCGGAGGGGAGCGGAGGGGAGCGCGGCCGGGACCGGGGCCGGGGCCGGGGCCGGGGCCCGTCATCCCGCTCGGGCGCGCCCCGCGCCCCTCCGCGCACCCGCGGCTCCTCCGCCCCCGCTGCCTCCGGAGCCGCATCTCTCGCATTTTCAGCTCCACTTACTCCCCTCGCGTATCGATCGCGGCGGCTCGGGTTTCACCCTTCCCTCCGCAGCCCGGCGGCAGCGGCGGCGGCGGCGGCTCCGCGGGAGACGGGGCTCCCGCCGGGGCTCGGCGCATCCCTCCCTCCTTCCTTCCCTCCCTCCCTCCCTTCCCTGCGCGGCTGCGCCGGTGCGTGTGCGGGGCGGCGGGCGCGGGGGGAGCCGGGGAGCGCGGTCGGGAGCGGTGGGCTGCGGGCCGGGGGCGGGCTGCGGGGATGACCCCGGCCCCGCGGCTCTCCCGGGGCACGCCGCGCCGGCTACGCGGCTGGCCGCTCCCGCTGCATTAGCTGGCAGCGTCTGAACTCCTGACCTTCTGTCAACTTCCCTCAGACGAACGAAACGAAAACAAATACTTTTTTTTTTTTCTACACCGCCCCCCCGCCACCTTCTCCTTCAGTGCTTGTTGCCGTACCTTAGACACAAAGGGGGGAGGTGGGCTGAGAGCAGCGGGGACGGGGAGGCAGCAGCGCCGGGTACCCGGCGGCAAAGAGGGAAGTGAGATGTGGGGAGCGAGATCGGGGTGAGAGCGGGGCTCCGGCACCCCTCGGTCAGGCAGGAAGCGGGGAATGGAGCGGGGCTGGGGAGCGGGCGGAGGGGTTGCACATGCCCACCGCTCTCCGGGTCCCCCACTCCCCGGGCCCCCGGGGACCCGAGGTGCCGTCCTGCCGCCAGTCTCCCTGCCTTGCTTTCCTCTCCTTCCCTCTCTCCCTCGGCCAGCAATCTCTCGTTAAATCCCAGCCTTCAAACGCCGGCTTCGGGAGCCCTTCAACCATGGAGAGATCTTTCCTGAGCAGAATCATTAAACTTGCAGAGTGGTTGCCGAATGCATTAGCCGCTAGTTAATATTAACTCCAGAAGGGTGGGGGGAGAAACGCAAACAGAGGTAGGTAAGTCAGGTTCTCAGCTTTGCAGGTGACACCAGCAGTTTGCTAAGGGCTCCCCCCTTCCTCTCCTCCCTCCCCCCCACCCCAACCATTGGCTGGATTCGGGGGAGAGATAAGGAGGCCAGGTCAGTATGATAAAGCTGGAATTTGTATGAAATAAAATAGCAATCTCGTGTAATGCAGGCACACAACTGGTGCGTGATGTGAGGAATTTAGAGATCAACTTGGCATTTAGGAAGCCCACCAGGTTGTTTACACTGACAGGTACCTGTTAAGTGTTTCCTTCAAGCAATTCATTTGTGAAGAGATTAGGAACTGGCAGGAGAGGGCTTGTTGAACAACTTTGCCTCCACACAAAGCGTTAGTGGAGGCAGCCCTGCTGAGCTTCACGGTGGCTGAACAGAATTGGGCTTGATTTGTGGCACACGACCCAATGAATTAATAAATAGTCTGGGCTTCACGGCTTTTGACTCTGACAATCCAGCTCAGGCAGTATAAAAGGGAAGAAAGTCCTTTCGGAGGCCGTTTCTTCTTCTTTATTCCGCCTGAAGCCGGGAACTGGTGCTGGCAGGGCCGGAGCGGCAAGAGCCTCTCGGCGCTGCCCCCACCGCTGCCGCAACCCTGTCCGCGCCCTCCGCTCCCTCTGCCTCCCGTGCGTGGCAAGACATCCCCGTGTCGCGCAGTGCTGTCGCCTTATCAGTAGCTGAAACGTTTGATCCTTCGCCCCCTTCCCCCTGTAAATTAGTGGAAGAGCATATCCATCCTCTCAGGTGTGAGGGGAAGAGAAGGAAAAAAATAAAATAAATCAAACTCAACTTCCTTGTGCTGCTGCACTTTGCTGCCGGGAACAGTGCTGAAATTCAAACACTCTTCCCTCTGCGTAAAACGGTAGGCCAGAGAGTCCAAAGTGAGCTCACGCTTGTGTTTTATATTTCTTGGGTACCTGTGTGTTGCTGGTATCACTTTTATGGCTGTTGATGGACACACGGGAACTTTCTTGCTAAGCAACCTTGTCACGTCCATAAAAGTAGCATCGTCGGGGTGATGGAGAGGCTTTGCCTTTCTGGGAGCTGTGAAGGGGGACTTTGTGGTCTGTTATTTGGTGTGCTGTGAGAACACTAGGGAGAAGGGTCCTGCACAAGGCCAAGAATCCCAGTCAGGCCAGCAAAAGTGTGAGAAGAGCAGTTTACTGCATCCCGCTTGGCTTTCATCCATCTCATCAAGCGAACCACATCGGGTATATCTACGAGTTATTTTCCTCTCAAAAAGGGAGAAGAGAACTGGCAACCTGTGTGTTTCTAACTCTGTAGCTTTAGTCAAGCGCTTTTCAATGCTTTTGGTGCTGATTACCTGTTTTGGAGGGCTGAGAGTCCTTTCACCCATCGCACTGTGTCTATTCTCCCCACCTTGTCTAAGACAGGAATCCCCCCAAAACTTTCAGGGTTTCATTTATAGTCCACTCCCTTCCAGCGCTGCAGGCCCCTTTCCTCTCCCTCTCCTCATCCTGCCCCTCTCATTACTCGGTCCCTGAGGGCCCCCGGTGCTGCGGGGCCCGGTTCAGCCCGGGGAAGGTCGGTGACTCCGGCGGGGCGATGAAAAACCCTGCAGTGCTTCTCCACGGAGTTGGAAGCGTTTCACTCCACACAAAGAGGCTCCTAGCTTGCATAGCATCCCTGCTTCGCTTAACTTCCCTCCTTGGCCCTCCCTTGCTTTTCATCTTCCCACTAAGAGCTATATTATTGTATGGATTTGCTCGGCTTTGTAGGCGAGCGCCGATGTATGTTTGAAGCGGAGTGAATGTTCCCAGCCCATGCGGCTTTGAGGGCTCTAATGAGTGATGGGCGAAGGGAGAGAAAAAAAACAACAACACAAAACACCCCTCCCTCCAGCACATAAAGGCTGTTAACATGTATTGATACCCTTTTCAACACAGAATTAAGCTGAAAAGACCCGGAGAGACATTCCGGGGGGGAATCCGTGACTCCAAGATATATGGCGAGTGTTTGTTCTCGGCAGAAACTTTGCTCTCGGGAAGGGACAGGGCACTTAGCGGTAGGAATTTGCTCCGTGCAGGTGGCTTTGAACCGCCACACTCACATCCCAGGGCCGGTGGTGCGGCCGGGGGGGTTTCCCCTGTCCCCGCGGCAGGTGCCAGGGGAGGAGGAGGCTCCGACCTTTGTGGTCGGTGGGTTTTAGTGGTGTTTCATCCCCTTTTCCTCCCGTGTCCCCATGTTTCACTCTCCTCCTCACCCACTTCCCCATCTCTCCTTGGCAGCGGGGGAGAAGATGCTCTCAGCTCTGGCTGAGCCCATCCTGCGGAGCGTTTTGGCGAGAGGGAAGGGCTGCCACCTATTTGGCTGGGGAGGGAGGGCAGGATGTGGCCCAAGGGGGTATAGATAATGAAGTAGGGGTCTGCCCTGGCTGCAGCATCCCCACAGTGACCTTTCCTTGTTTGTCCGTATCCCGCAGCGCTGCAAGGACAAGCTGAACGCCCTGGCGATCTCGGTGATGAACCAGTGGCCCGGGGTAAAGCTGAGGGTTACCGAGGGCTGGGACGAGGACGGCCACCACTCCGAGGAGTCCTTGCACTACGAGGGCCGCGCCGTGGACATCACCACTTCGGATCGGGACCGCAGCAAGTACGGCATGCTGGCCCGCCTGGCCGTCGAGGCCGGCTTCGACTGGGTCTACTACGAGTCCAAGGCACACATCCACTGCTCCGTCAAAGCAGGTAAGGCAGGCAGCCTGCCAGGGACACGTCGGGATGGGGGGACACCAACGGGCCACGACTCAGCCCCCCAGAGCCTTCTCTGCCCTGGCCTCTGTCGCCCGAGTTCCCTCCTCCGGTCCCCCGCAGGGTCCCCATCACCCGGGGGGCAGAGTCCCACCGGCGCAGGGGTGGGGGTAAGGAACGAGTGAGGGCGAAAGAAAAAAAATTTTAAAAAGCCCGGCCAGCTGCAGCACTTTTGCACAAAATTTTTATTTGGGTGATGTTTCTTTCCAGCCTTCCCACGAGTGCTGGGCCGCAACCACACACCCTTCTCCTCCCCCCGTGGGATCTGATGCTTTCCCCTTCCAAAGAGCATGTTCAACACAAACACTCGTGGCCGTCTCCAGCCGCCCTGCTGGCTGCACGCCTTACTCGCGAGCGCTAATCTCCGAGTGGGAGCCGGCCAGGAAAATAAATAAGTAACGTGGTCCCCAGCCTCCTTCAGCGGTAGCCGCTAGGAAATTCCCAGATAGGGATACACATACACATAATTTTTTTCCCTCCCCTCCCCTGTGCTTACAACGCCACACGCTGTCTCAACCCGGGAACAGCTCTCAAGAAATCCCCGACTCGCAGAGTTCCTTTTCCTGGCCCTTGACACTTTTTTGGGGCAGCAAATCGATTGGCAAGTGCCAGCCCCTTGCCCTCCCGCCTCCCTCCACCCATTTGGATGCCTTTGGATGGCATCTAAAGCGTTTTTTAAGAGCATCCTCTAGCCCAGCAACCTGCTGGATGTGTCAAGAAACACATGCTTGCAAAAGAAAATAATGGGCTTTCTTTAAATATAGCCGTTTGTTTCGAACTCAGCAGCCCCAGGGCAGGGAAATCAGCCTGCTCATCTGCAGGAGGGGTTCATTTCCCCACTCCAGCCCGAAGCTACTCGGGGGCTGAGCCGAGGCAGCACTTCTCCTGGCCTGCGGGGCCTTTGTCCTGAGAGCCTGCTACTGCTTTTGTTCAGCTCCTGGGCCCTCTCTAGCCAGAAGGAGGCCCTGCAGAACTGTCAGCTGTGCAGAGATATGAAACATCCCTTTCAATGGCCAAGATGGGCTTTACAGCACAAGGTGTCCGTGGTGTGTGGTGACCTTAACCCAAGCACATCCCCTAATCCACCCCCGTGGGCATTTCATAGGAGAGGAGTAACCCCAAGCTGCTCATTGAGATTCGGCACACACGGACTTGGGGGCAATATTTAGAGGGTGTCAGGCAGGGTCGTGTGACTGTACGAGGCAGGCTGAGGGGAGCAGGCTTGAATTCCACCCTCTCAGCCTGATCTTAAACTGTCCAAACCTCATTTCATGACAGAGCATCTCATGAGAAGATTAAACCCCATAATGCCAGGCAGGAAGATTCTTTATCTAGATCTCTGTTTGCAAAAAGTATGATCCCAGAGACTGGAATGCAAAGAAGAGTTCCCCCAAGGCCTGAATTATTGTCACCAGAACAGAGGAGGGAGAGGCAGGGGTGGTAAAAGGGACATTGATAATGCGCTACAGCAAGTATTTAGAGCAAGCTTCTACATTTAAAATTCAAATACAGATCTTGAGTGCCTTGGAAAAGTGGCTCTGCTGTGCAAATAGTGCTTGGAAGGTCCTGGGTTTTTTGGAGAGTATGTGTGTGAATTGGCACATAGGGTTTCTGCACCTGAACAAATAGGGAGGGGGAGAAAAGGGGGGGGAAGAAGCTGGGAAAAAAATGGAAGTGTCCTCTCTTCCAAGAGTGTCTGCATTTATTACATGAATCAGAATGACAATGCTGATCCTTTATTGGATTTTAATTAGAGAACCCAAACAAGCACTGCTCAAAGAAGCAGATTTTCACACCTCTGCCAATTCACTGGCGTGTTTGTAGAGCTGCTACACTACTAGATCTATTCATCAAGTCCCTGAATATGCAAACAAAGCTCTAGCCAGACCTTTACTGCCGGCTTGTAGGAAGGTGTAGTTTGCTAGCAGAGGCCTCTACATAAAGCACATAGCTTGTTTGTTGCCATGTCCTCCCTGAAGAGGGAGGCCTTGGAGATCTAACTGCTTCATTTCTGAAGGAGAAGTGATAAAGTCATTAGCAAATCAATAATGGTCTAATTTTCACCCTTCCTGTCCTTCCTGAGAAAGTCATTAGGAGACACTCCAAGGATTTATTTAAATCACAAGAGTTTCAGTAACAGCCACAGAGGAAAAATATAAAACCTGTCCACCTTTAGGTGATAAATCACCAGGTCTCTTAACTGGTATAGGGATTAACTGGAAGAAACCAGGGGAAGGCAAGGGAGGGATGGGGAATGTCAACAGCTCTAGCAAAGACACTTGCTCCCATGGCATACCATGGGCTACTACCTGATATTTAGAAAACCAGAGGTTTTAGGGACACTGCAAAGTCCTTCTATTAAGACAGAGACCAGCCTGGAACATGGCAGAGTTTCTCTCCACCGCCCCACAGGTGGCTGAGCTTCCAGAAATGGATTTGCAAGTCAGATTTAGAGATTCATTGCTACTTCTGCTTTCTTTAAATCTGAGATTGTTCCTTTTAGTAGCACTGGAAAACAGCTACAGTTGATGACAGCATATAGTATCTAAACTCTGAGTAACTCCCGAGAGCTGTAGGAGGTAAAGGAGCTTGAGCCTGGCATAGAGGTGGAGCTGCTTGGGGACCCCAAGCTCTGGGGCAGGGAACAGCATCCTTCTCCTAGTGGGGTGTGAGGCCTTTTTTTTTTTTGGAAAGAGGAGTGAACCAGAGTGCTGGAGGTACCAGGCAGGGATGGTATGGGGGTGGCATGTGCACCAGTAATCACCATGCCGAGCAGGAAAACAGAGAGGGCTGCAGACAGCACAGGGGCATGTACAGTATGATGGAGGAGGACTTTCGAAACTCTGACTGTTGCTTTCCAGTGGGGCAATGGGCAAATTCATGTGCACCTTGGAGCAAAGTCTCCTCCTGCTCCCTGCTGTTTGCTGCCCTAGATGACCTCCTTGAGTAAGAGCTCAGTGGGGACCCCAAGCACTGTGAGCACAGACACTTGCTTAGAGGAGAAACCTTAAGCCAGCAAAAGCACTCAGCTTTGAAAGATTGCAAGTTATCCGGCATCAGGTGTCAGGGTAAATCATAGCCAAATGGGAAGTTCTTTCAAAAGAGATTTGTACTGGAACAGTTTTCTCACTGGAAATATTTTAGCCCATTTCCTTAATGAGGTAAATCACCCTTCTAACTCCTAACCCAGAGGGAGATGCACTGGCTCAAATATGGCAGAAGGGGACTCTCATTTGACCCACTGAGAGCAAATGAGGCATGTTCATAGATGAGGATGGAGGAATTTCAGAGGGAAGTTTGGCTGCATCCTGCACCTGTTCTTCTTGGGCGGATCAGGGTGACTGGGGAAACGGTGTCCCCCCTCATACCCCCATGCTCCAGCCGAGCTTGTGCCTCCTCTAACCCTGCTGTGCCTCTCTCCTTGCGCAGAAAACTCGGTGGCCGCCAAATCTGGGGGCTGCTTCCCTGGCTCGGCCACGGTGCACCTGGAGCAAGGCGGTACCAAGCTGGTGAAGGACCTGAGACCCGGAGACAGGGTGCTGGTGGCCAACACCGAAGGCCGCCTGCTCTACAGCGACTTCCTCACCTTCCTCGACCGGGAGGACGGCTCCCACAAGCTCTTCTACGTGATCGAGACGCGGCAGCCCCGGGCCCGGCTGCTGCTGACTGCCGCCCACCTGGTCTTCGTGGCCCCCCAGCACAACCAGTCGCAGGAGGGGACCCCCAGCAGCCGGGCGCTCTTCGCCAGCCGCGTGCGGCCGGGCCAGCGGGTCTTCGTGCTGGGCGAGGACGGGCGGCAGCTCCTGCCCGCGGCCGTGCACAGCGTGTCGCTGCGGGAGGAGGCGTCGGGGGCCTACGCCCCGCTCACCGCCCAGGGCACCATCCTCATCAACCGCGTGCTGGCCTCCTGCTACGCCGTCGTGGAGGAGCACAGCTGGGCACACTGGGCCTTCGCCCCCTTCCGCCTGCTCCAGGGGATGCTGGCCGCCCTCTGCCCCTCCGGAGGGGCGTCCCCCATGGGTGACCCCACGGCCCCCGGCATCCACTGGTACTCTCGGCTCCTCTACCGCATCGGCAGCTGGGTGCTGGATAGTGACTCTCTGCACCCGCTGGGCATGGTGGTGTCGTCCAGCTGAGAGCATCCTGTGCCACCCCGGGCCACCTGCCGGCCTCCGAGGGAGAGACAGAGACACAGGGGGAGAGAAAGAGAGAGAGAGAGAGAGAAGAGAGAGAGAGAGAGAGAGCGAGAGAGAGAGAGAGAGAGAGGAGAATAAAAAAGAGAAAGAAAAAAAAAAAAGAAAAGAAAAACCCAAAAGAAAAAAAAAAAAAGAAAAAAACCCCTATTTTTAAAAGAGAGCACGGATTAAGACTTAAAAATAATAATAATAATAAAATAATAATAATTAAGTAGGACAGTCCAAAGTAGACTTTAAGGGAAACAAAGACCCCGGGAAGTTCTGTTCTGTTTAGTTTATAAATATATATATATTTTTATTTGTTCTTTTGTTTTGTTTGTTGGTTGTTTTTGTTGTTGGTTTTTGTTTTTCCTCCTCTCCTGGATATTTATTTCTTTGGTATTTTGAATAGATGTTTTAAATGATATGAACCGGACCTTCAAGAGCCTTAAATAGTTTCTTTGATAATTTATTATCATGTGAACTGTACTCACACGGGAAAAAATTATTTTGTGAGGCCAAGCAAAACTGCGCAGAGTCTATTTTTCTACATGTCATGTGTGTCCTGACTTTCAGAAAGCAAAATTCTGTACTTTCCCATCTCTCCATTGCATTGCTCCTTCATTTCAGCAAGTCTAAAAAACAAGCAAACAAACAGACACACACAAAAAAGACAAACTTCATGGGGGTCCGTAAATTATATTTTTATACACAGAATTGTAAATTAGATTTTTTTGAGAGATCAATACTTAACTGAATCACATTTCGTTTTTTGAAATAGTGTAAAATATGAGAATATATTATTTTAATTTAAATAGTTTCAAATGTAACATCATTTCCTGTATTGTTTTCCATGTTTTGCTTTGTAAAAACACCATTTGGCCACGTCCATGGAAGTCAAGACTGTTACACAAACTTTTTATTTGCAAAAACCGTAAGAAACTTTGTTATTTTTAACTTCAAAAAAAAAGTTTATTAGAAAATAATATTTTTTAAAAAGCGCACATGGCGGCAATTGTGTGACGATGGAGATGGTAGTTTGTACAGAGAGGAGAAAAGGATGTTTTGCATTAATAAATTGAGAAATAACTGCTGTAAATTTACTAAAATGTATTTTTGAATATTTTGTAATAGTTTTAATAGTTTTATAGAAATAAAATGTGCCATGCACAGTCTGGTTAGTATATAATAACTAAGAGTTCCTGGTGCATCCCATCTTTTTTTTTTTTTCCTTTTTGCTTATTGTTTTAGGAAACATGATGCCTAAAGGAGTGCCCGTTATTTTATTTAGATGTGTTGCTTATGACATTTCATTTTGGTACTTTAATTATCGAAAAGAATCCATCACATTTGAGCATAACCTGGAATCTCTTGTACTGACAGTAGAACCTCACTTATTTGCACGAGCGACCGGGAGACGCGGTTTCCCTTTGCTGGAGCCCTGGCTCCCCATCCACACTCAGGCGATGCTCCCCTCTTCCAGCTCCAGCCCCGGCTCCGTGTCCACTTCCTGGCCTGATCCGGAGACTGCAGACAGCTCTTAAAATTGATTTCTGAGGATATTAAATCAAGTTTTCCCTTTGAAGTGTGTTAATGTGAAGGCAGGCAACTGCCTTCACCTTGCGGCAGCACCGGGATTTTAATTGGCTTTAATTTGGGTGCCAGAAGATGGAAATCTGAGGGAGAGACACTGACTTTGGTGAGTTATCAGGGATTCATGTGGCAGATGCTGGAAGAAGGAGACAGCCACCAGATTTCACTGGTCACTTTGAGTAACAACACAGGGCTTGGGACCACCAGGAACAGAGCAAAACACCATTTTTGCAAAACAAAGGAAAGGATAAAGATTTGTTCATTTATGCTGAGAGACATTCCTTAGCTGTAATGCAGGAGTCCGTCCCGAGCCACCGATAGGTGAAGGCACTGGAGATGTGTTTTAGGAGCTGAGTGATGTGGCCAGTGCTGCATCCCCTGCCTGGTCCCTGCCCCAATCCCCGCTGAGGGGACCATCCTTGACAGGTGCCGATCAGTGAGGTTCTGCTGCACTGCCTGCTCCTCCACGGGGGTTTCCAGGAACCCTTTAAAAATTTTGCAAAACATTGTGTGTGCATGTGCGTGTGCGTCTGCGACAGGACCGTGCCAGAAGGGAGCTTTCCTTGAATGTCTTCTCACCTTTCCTTTGGTTTCCATTACTTGCCGGTCTAGGACGCGCATCCGTCGGGCAGCCTTTGCTCCAGAGACACAGCCACGTTCCCTGCTGAGATGGACGGCAGCTCCAGCGCCTCCCCGGAATGTTCCCACCTGTGGCCCTCTCCAGAGATGCTCTTCCATGATGAAATCCTAGGAGCTTCTGGAGTGCTGTCAGGAGCTGGTGGCTGAGCCCCATGCGTGAGCACTGCTGTGTCAAGCCCTAAGAGATGGATGTGGTCTCTCCTTCCTGTCAGCCTCTAGTCCAGGACCACTTCCAACCTCCACAGCCCAGACATGGCTGGGGTGATGAGACTTCGGTGAGACCACCAGCGGGCTGCAGTACCAGGACAGGAACCAAGCCACCCTAATGCCCACCTGACGTGGGGCATCGTGGGGGACTGTGGACTGTCTGGTGGGTGCTGGGGACCTGCTGTCCACCCCAGCTCGGACTCTGCCACCTCCATGTCTTTGGGGTCTGCTGGTGCATTGAGGGCAGAAAATGCAGCTGGTTTGGGGCATGCGAGAATGTGATCGTGGAACAAATGAGTCCCTGCTGTAAGAGTCTGGTCTTTGCATGTATGGCAGTGTCTGGGCATCTGGGCTCTCTTACCCCTGTCTCTGAGTGGCAGCTGCCATTTCTTAAGGCCCTTACACTCAAAAAAATGACCGCCTTGGAATGTGCCTTCTCCAGAGGTCAGGCAGTGGGGATGTTTAGGGACGTCAGTGATCAAACTTAAAGCCACTGGCTTGGGGGCTTCAGTCTAAGTTGTAACTGAGATGTAAATGAGCCATCAGAAGAGAGCCCATGCTTGTGTCAAGGGAAGGGTATATGCCTGGTAGGGACCATATCAGACATTGCTGCATTTAATCTTCACCAAAAGGCCAAGATGAGCTCAGAGCTTTGTGGTGTGAGACACGCTAAGATGCTGTCTAGTACTAGGATCAAGCTGTTTGGCCAAGCAAAGAAATGCTGTGCCATGTTCTCCACTGCACATATTCCAAGAGGCTTTCTGCCTTCCTCTCCCCACGTGTGTATTCCATCTCTTCCTCCGGCACCTCTCGTCTGGATCACCCCTCGGTGGTGTGCGTTAGAAGTGCTTCCTTAGATGGGCCAACCCAAACCGTAGCTACAGCTCTCGTATGAAGGATGTACTGTCATAACGCTGTGCAAAACGTCTAGGAGATGTCACTGTCCATTTTCAGGGTCCGAGTACGGCAATAGTTTGTATAAAATGTACACATAGTGGTGGCTACAGAATAGTTTATGACTAAATACATATCTATTACTGTTAAAATAATGTATAAGAATGTACTTGAAGCTATTATCCTTGTGCTCTGTTGTCTGAATAATTAAAGAAATTACAGAGACTTCCTGAAATGTCTGATATGTGATGGCATTCCTACAGCACACTCTCAGCTCCGAGGTTTTTACCCTGATGACATTGAAATGGGGAGTGGGGTCCCATGGGATTTGGCATGGGACTCTTCAAACATGTGAGGAATTGTGTCTGTGTTGCTTCACGTGATGGTCACAACCTCCCTTTTCTCCTACCTGGAGCCATGTAGACGGTCTATCGTTTACCTGTGAAATACTGCGTGGCTCTGCAAAGCCTACTCATTTGGAAGGGGCTTGTGGGGCACCAGCAGCTGCCTCCCCCGCCCAAGCCAACGTGAGAAGTGATCCTAATGAGACAGGGACTAGTTGGTGTTTACCTGTCCTGGTCTTCCAAGCAACACCCCAGTGCTCAGACACCAGGGAAACCCACCAAAGGGAAGCTTGGATGCACCAGCAAGACAGGATCACATCCACAGTGCAATTAAAATCCAAGCACAAGCACTGGGGTAAGCCAGGCCTTTCACAGGCAGGGAGCTGTTCCGTGCCACAGTCAGCAGCTCTTTGTGCCCTCACATCTGAAAGTTTGCTTAGCTGTACCTTTATATATATATATATATATGCACATGTATGTATATAATATTATTATCCTTATATTAAGAGCTCAGCATATCCTACCAGGCTATAAATATGTTTACACTGGCCCTCCTGAGCATTTCACCCCACACTAAGGCTGAGCAGGCGATGTAAATCCACCCGGTTGGGCGATAATTGGGCAGCAGTTTTGCAGCCCCAGTACAGCATCTATTTCAATTACAGGGGGAAGGAAACCAGTAGCAGCATTTTATTTTACTCATTACTGCAAGCCATAAGGGACCACTAGATTGCTTAAGCTTTTGAAAGTCTTTCTTCAGCAGTTTCTGCCTTAAAACCAGTGCAAAATTAACTGGGAAAAAAAAAGGTCAATTTTCCATGTACTAATGCTTTGGAGCTTTCAAAGGAACAGAGTTAATGTGATCCTTGGACTGAGTAGGTTGAAAGGGAAGAAATCATCTTTAAAAAATGTATCTTTACGAGCTATGGGATTGTCTCAGATTTGATGGGAGCAGGATGAGCCTCGCAGCCACTGTTTGTGCCAAGATTGTTAAATATAATTTTCAATACTTCACGTTTGGGATGTTTAGGCTTATGTATTTAAATAATTTTGGTTTTCAGGGCTGAAAAGAAGCTAGCAAATCCAGGAAATATGACTTTAATGATTTTGTCCTGGTTCCAGTAAAATCAAGAGTGGCATCCAGAGCTTATCTGGGTGAAGAGGGAGTAGTGCTGCTACCTCAAAGGAGAGTGCAGGACCCTGTATAACTTATTTTCCTTTTGTTTTTAAGTAAGAGCAAGCCAGCTCTTTGGACAAATACTGGTGTAAATCAGGAGTGAAACCACACAAGGTCAAGAAGTCTGTTTAGGGTAAAAATATTTGTTTTGATGTTCTGTGACCTATATGTGAAACAAATATTAGATTTGCTCAGTTTGGTGTAAACAAATGTCTGTTCTTATTACCGAGGAGGAGAGGTGACAAGGGATGCTCTGTGTGGTGTGACCAAGGAATGTCCCTTGGCCACCAAACTCACATCTGGCCACTGCCCAGGGGCAGGAGGGCTTGGACATGGTCAGGGGAGCAGGGATCCTGTGAGAACTCCATGTGCTTCGTGCAGCTCTGCCCAGCTTGCTCAGCTCTGGGAACAGCACAGGGACCCCCTTCCTCACCCCACCACTGGGGCAAGGCTTGCCTGGACCAGCTCTCTGGGACACCAGGATGTATCCTTGAAAAGGGGATGTGCTCAGAGGGAAAGTATACTTGGGAATGCTGTATCATTCCAAGTTTTGTGTCTTTTGATGGAGTTCTCTGCAAGGGAATGGATGATACATCTGTGTGCAATTAGAGTAAAATCCTTTTGGTATCATGACAGACAGGCACTATGTCACAGACCTGTTGTAGGGCTTTTCTGGGTGGAGGAATCTTATTTACAAGCAGGATACAGCTCAGGCTTTGGCTAATTTGGAGAACTAAAGCATTTCATGGGCTTCTTTTTTGAACAGTTTAGTCTGTAAGCAGCCTCTGGTGGTCCAGGGTCTAATCCCAGTCCATATGGGACTGGCTTAGAGTAAGCTGCTGGAGGAGATCCTCAGTCAGGTCTCTCATGTCTGCAAGGGTGGAGGGCTCCAACCCTCTGAGTAACTGGTGTTGTTAAATAAGATAACAGTTGGCCTCAGTATAACAGCAACACGCCCCATCTATCAAGAATCTTCCTTTATATTCTCTTTGTATTCATTCTGAGAGGAAGGAGGCCAAAGAGTTAAAACAAAATTAGTTTTAAGAAATCCCAGGCTCAAAATCTGGGGCATCCAGAGTTCTGCTGAGCTCTGCTTCTGCTCCTGCAGCCCTCACTGAGCAGAGAGCTGAAACCTCACTCACCCAGCTCACCTTTCTCTCTAAGTCAGCCCTGTCCTGTTTTCTACAGCAGTAAGCAGTGGTTTTAATTAGACTGTGATGAATGCAAATAAATATTAGTCTCAGGATTGCTCATGAACAATTCTCCTGGAATAGTCATCGGTTTGGTGTAAGCTTTGTTGGCCTTGCCAAATGATGCCCTTTCTACTCAGCAAAGTTTTTCTAGAAACAGGAGCATAATAAATGTACAGTATCAAACAAGTCTGTTCTGGCACAGTATTTGTATGAATAACCATTTTATGTTAACACCAGTGGAAGCTATGGGGTTCACAGGCATCAGAAAGTCCAACTGCCATTCAAATATCTGCAAATAATGACTATGTGATCCCACAAATAACAACAAACCAACCTGGTTGCTTTCATTGAGGAAAATGATTGTGAATCACTGTGTACTGTGGGCTCAATCCAACAACCACCAGCGTCAAATGAAGTCTTTCCACGACTTCAAACAGGCAGGGGAGGAGAGCTGTGTTTGCTCAGCTTTACCTGGTGTATCCATCGTTCTCATATTGCGCCATTAAAGAATAGAATTTATCAGGCAAGTAAGAATTTCCTAGAGAAGCCAAGAGTGGGCAAATGTCATCTCCTGACTGCATGTGTGCAGCTCCCACTGATGTCAGTAGGGTTATGTATGGGCAAAATGAGGTCAGGCTGTGTTGTCCTACTTTACGTGCCCTGTGGTATTACACTCAATTAAGTTTTGTCTCCCAGGACGCAGCCTCACTCCCACTTAAGTCACCAGGAACTTTGTCACTACACAACAGTGCAGGAGAAGGCACGAAATACCAGCCTTTGATCTGGAGTGCAATAAGGTTTAACCCATGTATTCATGAATAAGCAGCTGCACTTTGAAAAGGGAGGGTTGGATTTAGAAGAAAAATAAATAAATCCATTAAATTCCAACGTGGTGCATCTTCAGGAGAAGATGCTTTGCAAACTCACTCACAGCCTTGCAGAGCGTGGTAGCCTCAGCAAAACCTTCTTCCCAAGTTTTTTCCTACCCTCTGCCAATGGCTCCCCACTGATCCTTGCAGAAAGATACTGAATATCACGGGCAACACTTCTTAGGCAGCATAGAAGAATCAGTCACATCTTCTGTGTGGGAGACCACATGCTTGCCTACTTTGAAAATATTAAACACTGGTTGTGAAGTGAAACTATAAATAGATGTAGGAAGGAGAAAACAGTGAAAAAAAAATCCCTCATTACAGACAAACAAGTTGCCAGAAGGATGTTGGTCTTTGAGTGAACCGGTTTTGGTCCTTGCCCCTTTGATGGGGTTTCTTCTGATTTTGAGCAAGTAGCTTGTTGTCTCCCTGCCTTCAGCAGAGAAGTAAAGAAAACCATCTCTAAGGATAGTTTTCCCTTGTCTGTGGGGTCTACATGATGAGAAACAAAGTGATTCAGGTATCATCTCCTCCCTGTGTGTCACTGAGGGATCTCCTCTGTGTGCACATGGTGAAACCAAAGGATGACCCAGAACTTTTGCTTGTAAGACTATTTCAAAGCCCTCTTATTTATATATTGGTTTAAAAATGTGTTTAATTTTTAAATATCTCACAGCTGCCAGTATCAGCCACATTTATATCCTAAAATAAACATGTTTCTTATAGGATTTTTAAGTCCATTTTAAATACCTTTGAAAAAAAGGGCAGCTGGCTTTTTGCATGATCAAACTCTGCACTGCACATGTAAGTTATGAGGAGAACTCACAAGGCTTTAGCTAGCTCAAGGCTAAGAAATTATTTTGGTTTCTGATTGTGTCTCCATGTACCTCCATGGTAGGTACCTGCTGGTTGGCTGGAGGAGTCTGATGGGCAAGATCTCTATGGACTAATGAGAGAGCTGAGGCACCTGCAAATATTTCTGACTGTAGGTGTCCTAACTTTACAGCTGAATCCCGTCCAAAATGTTACTTCATCCCTCTACTTTCTGAAGAGGTTCCCCAAGAGGTCCTAGATTACATTTGGGGCATCCTTGACTCATCCAGTGGTCCTGGTGCACAATGTGAGGTGCACATTGACTTCCCTTAGCTCTGCAGAGTGACCAAGCTCTGGGCCTGGACATATTCACCCTCCTCTCTGCATCCATGCTGGGGTAAGCCCAGTGCAGTCCAAAGCCAAAGCTTTCTCTGGAGCTGGTCCTCCACTGCAGGATTATCTCAGGACTTCAGAGAGGCCACAAACCTCAGTGCCTCTCTTTCCAAGAGCAACGCACACTTGTTCAGCCTTGCCTGCGTTGGTATAAACACTGCGCACGTACAGCGTAGTTAATTAAAACTATTCCCACTCACTTTTCCCCTGGGCAAAGGAAGGGAGAAGATAGATGCTCATGGGAGAGGTGCTCATCACATTGCTTAATGTGATCTGCAGTGGGACACACAGTCCTGGGGGGATAAAAAGCTGTGGAGGGCTGAGTGAGCACCATGGAGCCCATGGAGAGCTGTCCCTGGAAAGAAATTTCCCTTGACTGTCAAAGGAAAGAA